CCAGGACCGTGAACCTCAGGAGCCCTGGTGTGAACTCACTTCCAGGCCAAGCCTTCCTTCTGGGGTCCTGGACAGACACAGTGAGCTAACCCTGTGTCCCACATTGTAGCATTGCCCTTCCGAGTCAGGAGGAATGTTCCTCATCTCCATCTGTCCGAGCCAGTGGTCAGTCCCGGCCAGCTCACGGGGGCAGGAGGGTCTGGCTGTAGAACCAGCTCATCTGCCTGGCCTCTTGCCAGCAGGTCTCCCCTCTCAGTGGACACTTTTACTGCCCCCACCGGCCTTTTGGTTTCCCTGGGCCCTCCCCACTCCCACCAACTGCTGGGAGGGGAGCACGGAGGCCCCACGTGCCAGTCCTCTGTCCCAGCTGGCTAAGCTGCTCAGACGTGGGACCATCCCAAGCCCAGGTCACCCTTCTGGATGAAAGCACAGAGCCGGCTGGTACCTGGCTGTCCCTGAAGTAGCAGCTAAGCACCACGGTCATGCAGAGCGGGGGCTGGCCTCCCCCTGACCGGCAGGGGCCCCTCTCAGTCTGTCCCCTTCCTGTCCTCAGACAAGAAGGACCTGCTGGTCTGTGTGAATGAGAACGGCGGCTGTGAGCAGTATTGCAGTGACCACGTCGAGGCCGGGCGCTCTTGCCATTGCCACGAGGGGTACGCGCTCCAAGACAACGGGGTGTCCTGCGTGCCCACAGGTAATGGGCCCTCAGGGCCCAGCCCCAGGGGCTGTGCTCTACTTCATTCCCAAGGAGCAGCCACCCATTGCCGCATGGCCGCAGCCATCTTGGGAGGGATGAGAGGGTGGGATGGATCTAGTACCTGCTGCCCCGCCCACGCCCACTCGAGAACAGGCCACGGTGGCGCGCGCAGGACAGAGCCCTGGGGCAGCTCCCTGGAGGGCGCGGGGCCACCTGCCTGCTCGCGGCAGGCCCAGAGGAGCAGAGCGAGGCTCTGCCCGCCCCGCCGCAGGTCCCTGAGCTGGGGGCACATCGCCGCACCCGGCTTGGTACTGACTGCGGCTCAGTCCAGAGTCCAGGTCTTTCTGAAAGGCAAGCACTGTTAGGAAAATGCAAAGTTTCCCCAAACCAGTCTCAAGCTAATACAGTTCCGACGGCGGGGCACGCGAGGCCTGTCTGTCCAGAGAGAGACGGGCCCCACCCAGGCTAGAGCCTGAAGTTCAGCTGCCACCTCCGAACGGTCTCTCCTCCGGCCCAGGGACCTTACTGGGGAGACCGAGAGCTCAGAGTGTCCTCCATACGGTGGTGCCGTTGTCCAAGGCCTGCTCATCCTCCTCAGTCAGTTAGGCAGCGCTTCAGTCCGCTGGGAAACGAGCAGAGCCCAGCTTCCAGAGGGGGGGACCTCTGTTCCGGCAGGAGCCCCGGGCCTTGCAGGCCCCGCAGCTCCCACACGGGTGGCCCTGCCTGGGCGGCCCTCAGAGCCCACCCCCACAAGCTCATCGTCAGGCATGAACCCCCCCACGCCCCTGCCCGATGACTTGCTTTCTACAGTGGAATATCCGTGTGGAAAAATACCTGTTCGGGAGAAGAGAAATGGCAGTAACCCTCAAGGCCGAATTGTGGGTGGCCAAGTGTGCCCCAAAGGGGAGTGTCCTTGGCAGGTAAGGCTCCAGGGGCCCCAAAGGGACAGGGGGCGGTCAGCTGCTGGACCCCGGCGCCAAGTCTCCCCTGCTGGTGCAGGGCACTTGCTCCTCCTTGTGAAGCCCCAGCTGCCCGCTCCCCTCTGTCCGTCCGGATGTCAGCTCGGCTCCGGCCTCCCCCGGCCCCTCGCGGCTGTGGGCCTCACTGCCCTCCGCAGGTGAGGGAACCGAGGCCTCCAGGGACAGATGGCCCAGGCACGTTTGAACCCAGCCCAAGCCCATCACTCTCTGCCTCCGGAAACCGATTCTGGAGCTGCGACACGGCCTCCTACAGGCGGGCAGGTGTGTGGGGCCACCTGTGGGCTGGTTCCTGTAGGAAATGCAGAGCCTCAGGCCCCAGCCCCACTGGGCCAAAATCGGCACCGCACTCGGGTGTCCGAGCCCGACCCAGGGGTCCTCGGGACCCTTCATGGGGGACGCCCAAGGTAAACTGTTAAGAGTTTTCAATGTGCAAGAACCTCGTCGGGGACACTGGAGGCTCCCTGCTCACCGTGGCCTGACCGTGGGTTCAAAGCAGCCCCAGGCCTCCCACTCTGCTGCTGCCTCAGGAGCCTCAGGGCCGGCCTGCCGGCCTGCACCCCCATCCCACCTCCCACGGTAGCCGGGCCTGCGTGGGGCCTGCGTGGTCCACGGCCCACTCCTCAGCTTGGCAGAACCCCGCGTTTTGGTGTTCAGAGGGATAATGCGAGCTGGACACATCCGAACGGGACGGACGTGTTCAGTGCTCCGGAGAGTGCCCGGAACTGGCCGCGCCTCTGTGCGGCAGGGGCGGGGTGATGGGGGCGGGTTTCTGTGTGTACAGCAGAGAGCCCTGGGAGGGCCGTCTGGGTGGCCGCAGCAAGCACGTCCTCCCACCCGCGCACAGGACCCCCCAGTACCACTCACCCCCACCCCCAGGAGAGAGGGCCGCCTTGCCCATGTTAGCGGGGTGGGGGGGACTGAGGCCCACAGAGATTCAGGCCCAGCCCACCCTCCAGGGGTGGCGCAGAGCCGTTGTCAGCCAGGCTGATTTTCGGGCACTGGTGTCCTGCCTTCAACAGGCAGGGGCGTGTCCCCGAGCCCCAAGCAGCTGTTCTCACCTGCTCGGGAGGCCTGGCTTCCGAGGGGCCCAGCAGCTGCCGGCTCAGGGGAAGAGGTGGCACGTCCCTGGCACCCTTGGTCCTGCTGTCCACGCTCGGGACATCAGGCCTCCGACGCGCTGACCCCACGTCCGGTCTCTTTCCTCCCTGGTGGATCCGCCTCACCACGACACGCGGGCCCCTGCCTCGCCCTCGACCAGGCCTCCCTCTGGCCTTCCAGTTCGTCCCCGTCTGCAGGCTGGCCGGCCAGAGGCTCCGGCTCCTTCCGTGGCCACGGCAAAACCACTGCAGGGCAAATGTCTCCCCGGAGCCTCACTCAGGCCCTGCTCAGCACCGTCCTTGCTTTTAGGAAGAAGAAACGGGGGCATGTATGGAGGGCTTGCTGTGTGCTGAGAGTCACACTGGGCGCCTCAGCTCACTACCTCTCACCCCCACGTGCCCAGAGCACGATGCTGGGCCGGCCTTCGCAGACCGGGCTGCTGGGGCAGGCTTGGGTGGTGATGCTGGGCACGTGGGGGCACCAGCGGCCACGTCCCGTGGTCGGGCTGGTGTCCGTGAGCTCTCCGTGGCCGTTGCTAGCTGGGGAGGCAGGTCCCCAGGGAAGCGTGCTGGGGCCGTGAACTCCGTGTACTGTGCCCGCGCAGGCTGTCCTGAAGGTGGACGGGGCGCTGCTGTGTGGGGGCACCCTCCTCGACGCTGCCTGGGTGGTCTCTGCAGCTCACTGCTTTGACACAGTCAAGAACTGGAGAAACCTGACCGTGGTATTGGGTAGGTTTTGTGGTTCCTCCGCCCGCTGAGAGAGGTTTGTGAACAGGACCGGCTTCCACAACCAGATGAGAATGTCCGGGCAGACCCCAGTGCCCCCGGGTCCCCCCGTGGCCACGGTCCCCCAGCCTCTGTCCCACCCACGGAACGTCTCAGGGGTGGTGCTCTCCTCCCATCTCACTTGGGCCAAGAGCCCCCTGGGTCGCGTGGGCCACGGCATGCGCCCTCCGCCTGGTGGGCTATGGGATGCTGGGCACCCCCGGGGAGGGGGTGGGCAAGACTGGGGCAATCGGGCACCCCTCCTCACCCACCCACAGCTGCCTGGCCCGGCAGCCCCTCCTCACGCACCCTCAGCACCCCAGATTCAGCCCCAGTCACACTCCGCACCGAGCCTATGGTGGCCGCCTAGGGGCGCTGCTCCCGCCAGCCTGGAGCTGGACACAGTGCCCGTCTGCCCCAAAAGGAGGCTGTGGGGCAAGGTGTGAGCGGTGCTGGTCCCCTGCAGGCGAGCATGACCTCGGCGAGGATGAGGGTGAGGAGCAGGAGAGGCACATAACCCGGGTCATCATCCCCGACAAGTACATCCCCCGCAAGACGAACCATGACATCGCCCTGCTGCACCTGAGCAGGCCCGTGACCTTCACCGACCACGTGGTGCCCCTGTGTCTGCCCGAGAAGGCCTTCTCCGAGAGGACGCTGGCCTCTGTCCGCTTCTCAACTGTCAGTGGCTGGGGCCAGCTGCTGGACAGGGGCGCCACGGCCATCCAGCTCATGGCCATCGACGTGCCCCGGGTGATGACCCAGGACTGCCAGGAGAAGTCACGCAGGCGGGAGGGCTCCCCCACCATCACCGAGAACATGTTCTGTGCCGGCTACCTGGACGGGAGCAAGGACGCCTGCCAGGGGGACAGTGGGGGCCCGCATGCCACCAAGTTCCAGGGTACCTGGTACCTGACCGGCATCGTCAGCTGGGGGGAGGGCTGTGCGAACGAGGGCCACTTCGGGGTGTACACCAGGGTCTCCCAGTACATCGAGTGGATGCGCAGGCTCATGCGCTCGAGCACCCCCTGAGAGGCCTCCTCCAGGCCCCGCTGCCCTAGCCCCAGGGCCAGCGCCTGCCCCAAATAAAGCTGCTGCCCGTCCCTCCCTCAAACCCGGAAACACCCTTGCACTTCCTGGGGTGGGAGGGGGCGGGAGACACGGGGACAGACATGGCTGGCCAGGAGGGAGGCCCTGCTGCCGGAGGGCCCCACGCCCACGGGCCAGCCCCTGCGGTGCACACCGGGGTGGCCTCTCTCTCGCGCCTGAGCATGTCAACTTCCCCTCACATACCCTGGAAGCACCATCCATTCACTTCGGTGGCTATCCTTCCGGATCTTTCTGTTTGTGTCGCTTCTACCATAAAACGGTAATGGCACACACCGTGAGCGCACATCAGGGGCTGCCCGCCATCCACGGGCTGCCCACGCTCACCCCGCTGAGGCCCTGGCCTTGTCCTGGGGCCGATCTTGCTCTCAGGCTCACAGTGCCCCTACGATGAGCCCTCCTCCATGGAGGCTGGTGTTCGAATCCAAGAGCACCCTGATGGGTTCCCGAAACACCACAGAATGGGTGTTCTCTTCCTGCCAAGGCCCTGGTCTGTAACACCAGGTTCCTCGGTCCCGCCCCACGAGCGCGATCAGGGAAGGACCTGGTGACATTTTTATCAAGCGCTTCAGCTGAGTGTGCAATCTGCTCAGCCTAAAGTCACATAGGCCACGGAGGAGTGAGAGACAAGCCGTCCGTGGGGGGAGCTGACGCAAAAACGGGGCCCCGAACGCGGCCAGGTGGGTAAGAGCACAGCCTGTGGGCACCTCGCCCCCTTTCGGGACACACTCGGGGGTGGGTGCCTGGAGCACCAACAGTGCTCAACACCAGTGCGTTCGGGCGCCGGGACCTGCTGGGCTGAACAGTCAAGCCGTGTCCAGCACAGGGCGGACCAGGGGCCACCCGCTCCGGCCACCGGGTCCGTCACCTGGTTTTGCCGAGGTGTCATCGGGACACGCCCCTTCCTTACTCAGCATCCTTGGCCGCTCGGAACCGCAGCCCAGAGCCGTTAGGACAGAGACCATGCTCTGCCCCCAGAGGCCAACGTGTCCACCCTCCGGGCCTGGACACAAGAGGCTTGCCGCCCGCGCAGCCTGCCGCCGGCCCGGGGCTCAGCGAGCAGGCACGACGTCGTCCCAGACGGGCTCTGCCTCCTGCCCTTGGCCACGCCGCTTTCCCGCTCCGAGCCGCGGCTCCTTGTCTACGAAACGGGAGCCTTGATGCTGGTCGCCAGGATGGGTCTTGAGCACGTAAAAGGAGGCTCCTGGGAGCGCTCCGTCGTGTCACGGCCGGGGAAGCCGGTCTGCGAGCCTCTGGGGTCCTCCGCTCCGCGGCTCGGGCTGCAGACACTGAGGGGAGTTTCCACATCAAGATGCAGGAGCTGGCTCACCCCTCTTCCTGGAAAGAACAGGGGAGGAGGGGCTGAAGGGCTACCCCGGGAGCCCAGCCAGCCGCACACAGGGTTGCTGGCCCGGCCTCGGTCTCCCCCGCCATCAGCGGGAGCTGCCGCAGCTTGGCTGCCCGGGGACGCCAGCCCCGTCCCTAAAGGCCGGCACACCTGGCGTGCGCGGAGGCGGCCGGCCGCCGACCTCCTCCCTCCGTCTGCGCGTGGCTCTCACGTCCTCGCCCAGCCCTGGGGGCGGGAGACAGGCAGGGGCTCGCCCCGGCCCCGGCCCCCCAGCAAGCTGACCACACCAGAGACGGGCTGTGTCAGCCCCGCAGGCTGCCCGCGGGGCCGGGCTCGGCGCCGAACGGCCACCGCCCCGCAGACCGGCCCTGGCCCGGCGCCCGCAGTCTGTCAGGCTCTGCTGAGCACCTACTGCGTGCCGGACACCCCTGGAGGCGCTGGGGACAGAGCGGGAGCAAGCAGACACAGTGAGGCTGGTGTCCTGGCGACCATGGGCGTCGGTGGCCGCTCACCACGTGCAGAACGCGTCAGCTGTGGTGGGCGCTGTGGCGCACGGTGCAGTCTGTCTGTCCCCGTCTCCGTCCCTGTCTCTGTCTCCGTCCCTGTCTCTGTCTCTCTCTCTTTCTCTGTCTCTGTCCCTCTCTGACCCTGTCTCTCTCTGTCTCTGTCTCTGTCTCTGTCCCTGTCTCTGTCTCTCTCTGTCCTTGTCTCTGTCCCTCTCTGACCCTGTCTCTCTCTCTGTCTCTGTCTCTGTCCTTCTCTGACCCTATCTCTCTCTGTCCCTGTCTCTATCTCTGTCTCTGTCCCTGTCTCTCTCTCTGTCCCTGTCTCTGTCTCTGTCTCTGTCCCTGTTCCTGTCTCTGTCCCTCTCTGACCCTGTCTCTCTCTGTCCCTGTCTCTGTCTCTGTCCCTCTCTTTGCCTCTGTCTCTCTCTGTCCCTGTCTCTGTCTCTGTCCCTCTCTTTGCCTCTGTCTCTCTCTGTCCCTGTCTCTGTCTCCCTCTCTGTCTCTGTCTCTGTCCCTCTCTGACCCTGTCTCTCTCTGTCCCTGTCTCTATCTCTGTCTCTGTCCCTGTCCCTGTCTCTCTCTGTCCCTGTCTCTGTTTCTGTCCCTCTCTGACCCTGTCTCTCTCTGTCCCTGTCTCTGTCTCTGTCCCTGTCCCTGTCTCTGTCTCTGTCTCTCTCTCTGTCCCTGTCTCTGTCTCTCTCTGTCCCTGTCTCTGTCTCTGTCTCTGTCCCTCTCTTTGCCTCTGTCTCTCTCTGTCCCTGTCTCTGTCTCCCTCTCTGTCTCTGTCTCTGTCCCTCTCTGACCCTGCCTCTCTCTGTCCCCGTCTCTCTCCCTCTCTGTCCCCGTCTCTGTCTCTGCCCCCCCACAAGGGGCCCTGCACCCAACGCGCAGCCCGCACGCCTCCCTCCCTGGCCTGACCACCGTGGGGTGAGCTGCTTCCCACAGGCACAGACCTGAGCTATTCCTGGTGCTGTCGTGTGTCCTGGGGGGACACAGCCCTGGTGGTGGGACCTCCCCGGGGTGAAAGCCAAGCAGGTGAGCGCCCCACATTCTGCGGTCAGTGAGCCGGCCGGGTGCCCTCTACACTTCCCTGCCCCCAAGGGGCTGTGGCTGGGCCGTGGGGTGGCCGGTCTCCCCTCCACTGCCGCTGGCCGGACTGGCCTTGGTGTGAGAGGGAAACAGACGCGCTGCGAGCCCCCCCGTAGGGTGTGCGAGGCGAAGCCCGGTCCTCGGAGCTGGGCCCCAGCGGCGTGTGCGCCTCCAGGGCGCCTCCGTGGCTCAGCGCTGGGGCTGGGAGGGCCGGCCTGGGTGCAGCCCCTCCCGGTCTCGGGCCGACGCGTCTGGCCGGCGGCAGGGCCACGCCGGCCCGGGAAAGTCCTCCCAGAGGTGTGTGTAGCAGCCTGTGGCCCAGAGGGACACGCCTGCCTCTTGGAGCCCCTGGACTCTGGGGGCGGCTACCAGCCTGACGCGCAGGCGGAACACAGGACAAGACCCCGGATACCACCCGGAGACCGAGGCCCCGAGCCGCGCCGCCAAGGCCCGCAGTCCTGGTTCCAGCCCCACGTGTGCCTCAGGCGGCCGTGGGCTGACACTCTGCACCTGGAGGACAGACGGGAAACGACCCTTGGCTCTCATCGTGCTCGTGAGGACGAAACAAGAGCAGACAGAACATCTGGAAACTATGAAATGACGCTTTTATTGTCTCCTAACACTCCCTGTGCCCCTCCAGGCGCGGTAGCTGAGGAGGACGAGGCCCGCCGGGACCTCCCCAGGGCTGCAGGGGCAGGGCGGCCATGGCCCCGCGCGGTCACCTGCCCCCCGGCCCCCTCGCGGCCCAGGCTCCAATCAGGAGGCAGTGATAAGAGAAGGACGACCAGCCGCCTGGAGCCAGGGTGACTGAACCTTGCCCCAGAGACCTGTCACAGCGGGACGGACGCGCTGTCCTTGGCCACACCATGGCGGGCCCACTGTGCCTCGTCCTGCTCGGCGCCTCCCTGGCCGGACTCCTGCTGCCAGGGGGCAGTGGTAAGTGCCCCCTCGCCCTGCACACTGCAGAGATGGCCCCCGGGAGGAGGAGGGACGGCGGAAGTCAGGGTGATGCCCCGAATCTCCACAGTGGGGAGAGTAGTGCCCATCCCGTGCTGTGACATGGCCGGGCCTGGTGGCCTCAGCCAAGGGTAGCCCAGGGCCAGGCGTGCCTCCCTCCTTGTGGGTGGGGAGGCAGACGGCAGACCAGCGGTCGCACACAGAGCTCGTGGACAGAGAAAGAGGGGGAGGCCAAGAGAGACAGAGAGACGTGCCCCCTCCGCGGCCAGAGCGAGCTGGGGCGGGCCCGGGGGGGGTCACAGCAGAGAGGAGCTTCCGTGGCGGAAAGAGAATGAGATAGAAGCCGGTGCCCCCACCCTCAGGCTGGCTTGGTCAGGAAAGGGGGTGCCCGGTTCAAGGCTGGACAGAGAGGGGTTTCTGCACCTTCCAGGCCCTAGGCTGTCCAGAGAGAAGAGACCCAGAAAGGGGGCAAGCAGAGCAAAGGCAGACGAGAGGGCAGGGGAGCGGCATCCCGGGGGCTCTTCGTGCCCTGGATGGAGGGGAGGGCCGGAGCCTGAGGGGACCCGGTGTGGAAGGACAAGGAGGCGGTGGGAAGCGAGAAGGGGGGAGAAGATCGGAGCAGGGAGGGACCTGCGTGCTCGGTAGCGCAGCAGACCTTTGGGGTGATGGGGTGTCCACAGACAAGTTTGAGCTCGGTGTCGCCTTGGAAGGGAAAGCGATCTGAGACGGGAGTGAAGCTAAGGTTTAGTGAGTACCTAGTGTGTCCCAGCCTCAAACTCACACGACTCTGAGACGCAGGGAGTGACCCCTTTTGTCAGCTTTAAGTAGCAGGTGATGGAGCTGCGTCTGAAGCTCGGCTGCCCGGCTGCCGGGTCCGGTGTCTGGCTCTGCACGTGGGGAGTGGGCGCTCTGAGCAGAGGGCAGGCCGCCGGCCCTGCAGAGAGGGGAGGACGGAGCTCAGGATGCAGGTCCCCACCAGGGAGAGCCTCTATGAGGGCAGGAAAGAAGGCAGACGGGGTGCAGGGTGAGAAAGGGCCCCAGGGGTGAGCAGATCCTGCGGGGGCAGAGCAGGCCGCTGCTGAGGCCCTCTGGGCGACAAGTCCCTGCCTGTCGCTAGTGTTCCTCAGCCCGGAGCGCGCCCGCAGCATCCTGGGGCGGGTCCGCAGGGCGAACTCATTTTTGGAAGAGATGAAGAAAGGGAACCTGGAAAGAGAGTGTATGGAGGAGATGTGCTCCTTCGAGGAGGCCCGCGAAGTCTTTGAGGACACCGCCAAGACGGTAAGGGCTGGTGCGCAGGCACCCTGCAGCAGGGGCTCCCCAGGGTGGAGGCCGGGACAGAGCAGCCCCGGGACCCCCGTGGGTGCAGGGTGGGGAGAGGGCAGTCCTCCTCCGCCACCTGTCCCGCGGGGGGCGGTGGGGGCGACTGAGGGCAGCGTGAGGTCCTGTCTGGTAGGAGGGCCGTGAGGCCGTCCAGAGGTTTTGTTAAACCAACTCTGAAAGGTAAGGTGTTCGTTTAAAAATGACTCACGGCCTGAGTCACGCCTCCCTGGGCTGGGCCGCACACCAGGACACGGAGCCGGCGGGTTTTGCCCAAATCCATGGCCGCCGCCGTACTTGACGTGGACACCCGAGGAGCCACGCTTGTAGAGTTAATGCGTTGCCAGTAAACATTCCGTCAGACAGAGACGAACCGATTCTAAATCTGGAAGTATGGAAAAGCAAAGAAATCAGAGTAGCTGAAACAATTCTGAGAAAGGAGAGGAATCACACTCCGTGACTTGAAGCCTCCCTACAAAGCTACGCTAACCGCAGACGCATTAGTGTGTGTTTCGGGAAAGGGACAGATACAGAAATCAATGGGATAGACTAGAAAGTCCATAAATTGACCCATGAAAATATGGCCATTTGCTACCTGACAAAAATTCATAAACAACTCAATGAAGGAAGAATTGTCTTTTTCAACTGATGGTATTGGGACAACTGCCTATCTCCCTACAGAAAAGGTCAACTTTGACCTAAACCTCACAACGGAACAAAAATTAACTCAAAATGATCATAGATCTAAAGGTAAAACATAAAACTTCAGGGCGAAAATTGTCATGACATGGAATTAGGCAAAATTTCTTAGACACAACATCAAAACCATAACCCATCAAAGAGAAAATGGGTAAATGAGACTTTACTCAAGATTTAAGACGTGCTCTGTGAAAAATCGTGAAGAATAAAGATACAAGCTATTAACTACGAAAACGCTTGCCAGCCACACACCCAACAAAGGATCTGTATTCAGAATATATGAGGAACTCGCACACTCAGCCGAAGAGCATCAACAACCGACTGACGACACGGATCGGAAGACGTGAACAGACCCGTCACAGGGGCGGACGCCCCGTTGGCAAGTGCGCGCAGCAGACTCGCGACCTCCTGGGCCCTTACAGGAGCGCGGACGCCCCCCTGCAGGCTGGAAACCACCGACGGGACCCGCGCCGGGCAGGTGCGGGGGCCCGGACGCTGCTGGACCGCATCTCCTAACGCCATTGCCCTCTGACCCCGCAACCCCACTCCTGAGCGCGGACACCCGGGTGTGAACGTCTGTAACAAGTCGCCATCGCCCCAAACTAGCAGTGATGCCGGTGGCCCTGTTTGGGTGGCCCCTGGATCAACGGTGGCGGCGTTCCACTCGGCAATGGGACAAGCCGCTGGTGCGCACGGCGCTGGGGTGAGTTTCGGAGGCGCCGTGCCGAGCGAAGGAGCTGGTCTCCCCAGGTTGTGCAAGGGGCTCAGAAGCCGCGGCCGGGACGAAGAGCAGATTCGTGGCCCTGGGGGTGCGGCTGCCGTGGGCTGCGAGTGTCGGGGGGCTGGAGCTGTTCTGTGTCTTGACCACGGTCGTGGTGGCACAAATGCAGCGTGTGATGGATTTCACAGAATTGTACACCAAAATAGTCGTGTTTTGCTGTGTGATTCTTTTCTCACTGAAATTTTAAGGAGACAGTGTCTGAGTTTCCTGAGGCTTCTGGAAAGCACCACACACCGGGTGCCTTAGAACGAGCGGAATCCACTCTCACAGTCCTGGAGGCCGCAAGTCCAAATCAAGGTGTTAGCAGGTGTCAACACAAAATGAACAAACCCTTTAGAATTGCTTTACAAATAAAAAGGAAGAGAGTCTTGTTTGAGCCCAGGTGAGGACCGCTGCCCAGGATACACAACCTTCCCAAAGAAGAGAGAGCTCCGGAGAAGGAATGTTTAATACAGGGTTATATATGCTTCTTGTTACTTCAAGAATTACAAATCATCATGAAGAACATCCCAGAAAATTCCAAACTTTATCTCATGCTTTTAGTATGTGCAAAGTTGTAGGCTTCAGAGGTATGGGAACTTAGGAAGACGTTTACTCTTAATTATATATATATATATATATTTTTTTTTTTTTTTTTAAAGTAGGCTCCAAGCAAGGAGCTCAATGCGGGGCTTGAACTCAGGACCCTGAGATCAAGACCTGAGCTGAGATCAAGAGTCTGAGGCTTGACCGACTGAGCCGCCCAGGAGCCCCAGGGAGGCTTCTACTCTTCTCTTTAGTTTGTCTTTAGTTTAGTCTTTTCGGTTATCTGCTAACGAAGTACGATGTGTGCTGGGGGCAGCAACAGAGCCCATGCCCTGAGGTCCTGCCAAGTCATTCCGACCTTGGTCCCTGTGAAAGTGTAGCTTCCCTGGGCGCCCAGGATCAGGGCCCACAAACAGTGGAAGTGGAAAGGTTCCTTTTGGAGGTCTGCGGGAGAACGAGCTCCACGCCCCTCCCTCTCCGAGTGTTGGGCGCTGCCAGGGGTCCTGGGCCCTCCTTGCCTCGTGGGCACATCCCTCAGGCTCTGCTCCGTCTCCGCGTGCGGCTCTCGTGCCCTTTCCATCTCTCCTGAGAGCACTCAGTGTCAGCCCTGAGCCCGTGGGGTCTCCTCTCCAACCTTAATCACAACTGCCCACACCCTATTTCCATTAAGACCACATCCTGAGGTTGCACCTGAAGTTGGGGCGGGGTGGTCGTACACTGTTCAAACTACGGAACACAGCAAAAATGATTTTTAAGACCATGAACATTTTTTTAGTGTAATATAGGCTTTTGGTGCCCTCTTTTAACCTAATCACCAATTACCAGTTTTTCAATTTAACATGATTATTCACCAGGCATCTGATCCCTTATTGAATCTTTGACCCAGATATCTTAACTCAAAACCATTCATTGATCCGCTTGGGTGTAGCAAACAGAGCAAACCACTTCTGGTATAATCCATTCCTCAGTGATTAACTTAAAAATAGTTTTTCAACATTCAACAGAGCTGGTGCATCTAGGATGACCCAAGTCCCATCTGTACAGACACGGCAGATCTGAAAACTTCCCTCTTAGGCTGAGGAGCCCCACAGCAAAGAGTGCCAGGAAAGGCCTCTGTTTGGGAAAGCACCCTATTCAGGCAGAGCGTGGTGGTTGTGTGAAATGTCTGTCTTTTCCCTAATGTATTTTAACATCTTCTTTCCCCTTTTAGACTGAATTCTGGAATAAATACAGAGGTGAGATGTTTTCTATTTTAATGTTGAGTGGGGTTCATTCAGACATTGAAATAGAGAGAGATTGTATTTGAGTTTTTGAAACCACTTTTTGAATTTCCTTTCCACTCCTGCTTATTTCTTACTCACCTAAGACTTTTCCTCTCTGAGTGTTTTCATAACAGTTATTGTGAAATTATTTTTTGTAACTTTATGCTAATTCTAGTTTTGTTACTTACTTAAATGTAGATTTAATTAGTTCACTCTCATTTGAGGAGTACCAAACTCTATGATAATTTTCTTAATCTAAGGTATTAGGTAGAAACAAAGAATAGAGTCCGAAAGATTAGGTCTTCTAAGAAGATTGAATGTTTGCAGCTTGTGAAATGGTATAAATCATGACTCATGTCTCATTCTGGTAACACTTTTCAAATTTCTCAAAATGGCCACTGGACCTGTCTCTAAATTAGATTGTCCAAATGCACCAAGAAATGTGAAGTTCCATGTTAGTGCTGGACAGTAATGTTTGCATTCTGATTTTACCTCCAGACCATCTGGGAAGAGGCCCCCAAACACGGGCCTTGTCAGTGTTGAGCCTAGAAGTAAGTGTCAGGGAATTCCCCCGCCCTCTGACCTCCCAGCTGGTCCCACACGGTCACCAGCCCAGAGCCCAGAGCTCCTCACTCTGTTGAAAACACACTGCCAAACATCTCCGCAGAAATAGAAAAGCTTATCAATGGCCCAGTTAGATAAGAGCATCACGTACGTAGAGCCGCAAAAGGTGGGGGTAAAATGAGGTCCAGATGGGAGAAATGTTTACAGGGAGACAGGAAGATTTCAGGTTTATTCAAGCTATCTGAACAGCGCGTGCCAAGATCAACAGCGCAAAGCCATTTCCACCATCATGGGAGCTGCCTGCAAGCTGGGTTCCCAAACCCTGTCTCCGCAGACGGCGACCAGTGTGAGAGCAGTCCTTGCCAGAACGAGGGCCAGTGCGCAGACGGCCTCGGGGAGTACACGTGCACCTGCTCGGAAGGATACGAAGGCAAAAACTGTGAATTGTGTGAGTTCTCTTCCCGGTGTCCCTTCAGCTCGGGCTCACCTGACATCAGGAACCAGGGAAGGAGCCAAACCTCCCAGGGAAACAGTCTCGGGTTCCTCCCGATTTCGAGTCTGTGCTCCCACGTGCTGTGCCATGTAGGAACAGCAGATGCAGTGAAGTTAGAGCCCAACGTCTCCTACAATCTGCTCGGTTTTAGGGTACGGTGAGAGACACGCAGCCACGTCCCTTCCTCTCAGGGGCTTGTGGCACATTCGTGGAGCGCTGGGCCCATAACTCAGAGACGAGATGGGGCCGTTTCTCTCCCGGGGTGGCGCTCCCCCTCACCGGCTACGGGATTCCTTGCGGTCCCGGGAGCGGCTCTGAATCACCACCCTCCACTCACGTCTGTTAGTGCGAATGTCAATTCCAAACCGTCCGGGATTGTCCAATTATAAAAATGTGATACATTTAATGAATTCTACATGAAAAAGTCAGTGAGAGTTTTCCTGATATGGTGATTAATTTAATAAAAATTAGATTTGTATTAGGCCAGCTTCCCCCTAATACAGGAAGATTCACATTTCTCCCGGGTAACTTCCTTTGTAATCTGCAGAGTGTGCTCTTAGCTTGCATTTTTTGGGCTGGTTCCCTTGGGGACTGTCAGCTGCGAATCCCACTGCCCAAAGCCCAGAGCCGCCTCTGCGGCTCCCCACGTGGCTCAGCCCCGAGCCACCGTGCGTCATTTCTAAAGCTGCACTAACGTTGATCTTCTCACTGTAATTATTTCATCATCCAAACCCAAATGCGGAATGTAAGGTAAATTGCCGTGGTGGCGTCAGTGACGTGAGTTGGGGGTTGGGTGTGGCGTGCTCGGCCCAGCCTCGAAGCCGCCGGAAGCTCCACGGCCTCACAGTGCCCAGAGCGTCCCGTGACGTGCCAGGTGGCCTGGGTCCAGCACGCGCCCCCACCCGTCCCTCCCGCTGCCGCACCGGGGCCGGGACCCCAGTCTCTGAGATGTGTTCCGGCCCCTTTATTCTGGCGGGGGGATCCTCCAGGCTCAGTGGACTGGCCCGTGGCCATGCGGCCCCTCCCTGCCTGAGCACCTAGCCCCAGGGCCCGTCCTCGTGCATGCGGCCTGTGCACACCAGGCTTGCAGCTGTGGGGAGGGCCGCGTGCCCTTCTGAGGGCTGAACTTGTGACCCGCCAGCGTCCAGGGCCCTCCAGGGGCGTGCTGGGCTTTCTGCAGGACCTTCTGGAAGTCTGGCGCCCAGGGCGCTGCAGACACCATGCCGTCCCCACGTGGTCTGGGGAGTGGTGGGGCGGGAGCAGCGTGGACACAGAGGAGTGGACACCAGCCCCTCGCCTGCTCTGGGTGCCTGTCCTGTTTGCTTGGGCCCAGTTCAGAGGCATCGGCCATGTGGTCCTGGCCCTTTGCTGCAGCTGTCGGGTCCCCTGTGGGGTTGGCGGGTGCGTGGATGGGCTCCTGGTGCTGCCGTCCCTCCTCCGGGCTAGGTGCGGCCTCAGTTTCCCCAGGCTGTCATGTCCTGCAGCCACGCGGAAGCTCTGCAGCGTGGATAACGGGGACTGTGAGCAGTTCTGCAGGGAGGAACAGAGCTCGGTGGTATGCTCCTGCACCAGCGGGTACGTCCTCGGGGACAACGGCAAGTCCTGCATCTCCACAGGTAGGAGCGCGTGGGCCAGAGTGGGCGGGCCCGCCAGCGTCCCACTGTTTCTGGGAGCTGAGGACTGGGACCAGCGGGACTGCCTAGCTCCCCGGGTGCCGGTGAAGGCGGGTAGTGCCAGCCCTGAGGAGCCACGACATGCTTGTGACCGAGGCACACCCTGTCGCCCTGGAAGGCTGGGAGTGAGCGGGTGCAGGGCAGCATGGGCGGACTATCAGGGCTGTGGACTTGGGGGGTGCAGGAGCTGCAAGGGGTACCACGGACCCCCAAGAATGAGCAGGTTGGGCAGGCCCCAAGCGATGGGCTTTAGTTTCCTTCTTTGTGATGAGAGCCGGGCCGTTGAGTCTGGTCCGGAGGCTCCCAGAGGGCATGGCCTAGTGAGGGGACCTACACAAGGGGTCCTCACCACTGCAGGGTCCACCTGGGCCAGAGCTTCTGAGAGGCCACTCCTCTCTCTCTTAACTCCATCTGCTTCTCACGGTGGCCCCACGTGCTCCTCAAAGCCTGGTGCCCTGCCTGACCCACAGCTCTGGTCGGGGTGCAGAGTCTCGGGCGTTCCAGAAGCTGGACACATTCCCTGCCTGTGACAATGGCCTCCATCCTGTAACCCGGGCCCTCGGCGGTCCCCGTTGTTCCCCCCACTCTCCTCCCCCAGGTCAGGTCGGGAGAGTTGTGCCTGTGAGGCAGGGAGGTTCTCGCTCTGCTGAAGCCGGCCCGTCCTTTCAGAGCCTTTCCCCTGCGGGAAAACCACGATGGGGCGCCGGAAGAGGTCAGCAGAGACCGCTCACAGCGGCGAGGGCCCCTTGGAAGCCGAAGCCGGCATGCAGGAGCAGTCCGACCCTGAGGATCTGCCTCCCACCCAGAGCACTCTGTTCCTGCTGCCCTTCAACAGGACAGAGCCCAGCTCTAAGGAGGATACGAGAAGCCTGGTCCGGATCGTGGGTGGGCAGGACTGCAAAGACGGCGAGTGTCCATGGCAGGTGACCGAGGAGCGGGCCGGGGTGGCGCAGGCGGTGGACACACCCCGCTGCCCCGGGGTGGGCGGTGCGGAGATGACAAGTGGGCCCTGTCCCTCCCCACCCCACGTCCGTCCCCATCTGCGTGCCCGTGAAGCACAGACCGAAAGAAGAGGTAGTCCCGCCACGGCTACTGGCCGGGCTGCAGGTTCAGGTCGGCAGGGGAGAGCGCTGCCCGGCACAGCGATGCCCTGGGCTTGCTCTTCTGACCACCAGCAGAAAGAGTCACTCCCCTTGCTTCCTCTCTAATCTGGTAAAAAGATTTTTTACCAAAATGTAAATCCTGCCAAGGCAGGTAGTAATTCGGAGAAGAGCGCATCCGTGTGTTTGCCACGGTAAAAAAAATCCCTCTTCCCTTGTTGATTTGGACTAAGGTTGCCCGATTTAGCAAAGAACAACACAGGACTTACGCTTTGAGCTTCAGATAAACAATGAACAATTTTTAATGTGAGTATGTCCCAAAGACTACGGGGGACACATTTACACTAAAAACTGTTTGCTATTTATCTGATTCAGGTTGACCTGGGTGTCCTCTATTTTATCTGGCAATCCTAACTTCGACTTTAGGGTTTAGAAGTCAAAATGGCTTCACCTACAAGCAAAACTCCAACAACCTTTAGAGAGGAGCTCAGCCTGCTCCCACTCCAAGCTCCGCGATGGGCGTGCGTTTGCCTGAATTATCGGGAGGCCGGGAGGAGCGATTCAGGGTGCGGTCACCTTGCGGGCAGAGTGCATTCAGAGAGAACTGTTGTGGCTCCGACGGGGACCTGGGCGTGGAGTGCAGGACATGGGATCCGCTCTATCCCCTGACGTGTGCACATCTAGATCCAGGAAGGGCCGCGAGCCCACCCGAGCCACCCCAGCTGCAGTTGGTGTGTGACTCGCACATGCAGCCGCGGGGGGCAGCTGCGTGGGGCAGCCGCGGGGCGGTGGGGAGGCAGCCAGAGGAGCTGCCCCCACCCCCAACCCGGGCGGCATGTTGGTGGCTTTGGTCGCAGGCAGAGAGGATGGGGGGGATGCGCCCGGGGAACAGGGTCCTGTCCAGGGGACTCCTGACTCCTGGGCTCCCTCCCTGTTGGGAGGAAGAGGTGGGGTGCAGGTACGGGGAGCCTGACTCTCCATCACCGGTCACCAGAGCTGGCTTAGGAGACCATCAGTCACGCAGGGAAAGGCGGCAGCCATTTCCCCACTAGTCACGGCGGTCTTCAAGGGCTCTTTCAGAACCTCAGGTTGTTCCCTGTTCCACTGACCCGCATACGCCCCCAGCCAGGAACTCCCGCCCACTGGCTCGCAGGGTGTGGAACTCCCCAGGAGAAGCAAAAAGGGCTCCTCTCCAGATTTGCAAGCCCCACTCTCTGGGGGAAGGGGTGGTGCTTGCGGCGCTCCCGGTGCTCCCTCCCTCCCTCCCTCTGCAGTCCTGGCGGGGAGAAGGTCACCTCCAGGGGGAGCCACATGGATTCCAAGGACACTGCCCTTGAACGGGGGCACACCTGCCCCGACACCAGAAACTGTTGTCCCCAAAGCCTGGCACCTGCCTGGTCTGGGCTCTAATTCAGAGCCACATAGCAAAGGTTTTTCACGTCGAAAACCGTGTTTCTACGGGAGCTCTGGAGGGTGTGCGACTGCTCGCGTCCTGGGAGCCCGCGGCTCAGGCGCAGAAAGCCAGGGGAAGCGCGGCCGAAAGCTCCCCGGGTGCCCTCGTCAGCACTCAGTGGGGCCTCGGCGAACGTCCGCTGAGCCCGCCAGGGCGCTGCTCCGTGCACAGGAGCTGCCCAAACCCGCGCGGGGTCCAGGCACGGGCTGGGGGGCAGCTGGGCAGGGGCCGGGGCCACCGCCCCACCGCGAGCCCCACAGTGAGGGAGGCCGACTTGCAGGAGTCTGCAGGTTCCAGGCTGGACGCAGGCAGGGGGAGGCCCTGACGCAGGCCGGGAGGCCGAGAGGAAAGTTCTCCCACTCCTCTTCTCCAACCTGGCGGACTCAGTTGTGCTCCTTACAGGCTCTGCTCATCAATGAGGAAAATGAGGGGTTTTGCGGGGGCACCATCCTGAGCAAGTACTACGTCCTCACAGCGGCCCACTGTCTCCAACAAGCCAAGAAATTCACGGTGAGGGTAGGTAAGTGGCGGCACGACCCCTCCGCTGCCCTGCAGGGCCCCCTGGCACTTATCTTCAGAGCTGCTAGCTGGAAACGTGGGTTGACACAACGGAACCCTGAGGGCACAGGTGGGGGGTGTCACGGAGCGGGGGGGGGTCCTCCCTGACGTGCTCCAGTCCAGACCCGGTGCCGTGAGCCCCCCTCAGTGCCCCTTCCTCCAGGAAGGCTTCCAGAGCTCCTCCTCAACAGTCTGAGCCCGGAGCGTGGCCCGTCACATTTTGTAATATCTGTCCTTCTCTACCAGCCGCAAATGAGCCACCCGTGTGATCACTAGTTCTCTCTGATACGGTGGTAAAGTTCCCAGATGAAATTAATTTTAGTGATAGCTCATCATCCAATATATCCAAAATATTATTATTTCAGTGTGTAACCAATTTTAAAAGTATTAATGAGACATTTTGAATTTGTGTTTTCATTCCCTGAGAATTGACACAGCACATCCCCGTTCCGACCGGCCGCGCCGCCTCCGACGACCGCGGGGTCCAGAGCCGGCACCCCTGCTGCACGACAGTCTCAGGAATTGCCTGCCTGAGGCGCTGGCCATGGTTATAAAGTGTGACCGGTGGTCGCCCCTGGGGAGCGACACTGGAGGTCGCTTTTTTTTTTTTTAAAGATTTTATTTATTATTTATTTGAGAGAGA